CAAAACTTAGAAGAGGTATCACACAAAAAATCAATACACTTACAAACCTCATAAACACAGCCACAAAACCCTGTTGAACGGACTACATAAATGAAGATATTAACCACATAAAGCATTCCTTTATTCACACCAATAAATTCCCACCAGCTATTGTTGAAAAACTCTCCAACATTCCCCACAACAAACCTCAACTCACGAACAAAATTGATACTAACAAACCCAACAACAGTACATTACACTGGAGTTTACCTTTTGTTCGTGAAACCAGCTCAAGAATTATCCACACTTGAACAAAACTAGCCATTTAACACAATATTCCTGTCAACGTCAAATTCCCACAAAAACCCGGCCCTAAATTAAAATCGTTACTAAACAAAAATTATTTAGAATCACACAATACCAACGTCATTTACAAAATAACATACAATAACTGCCCAGAATTCTACATCAGAGAAACAGGAAGAAAATTGGATACCAGATTGACAGGGCACAATAAAAAAACCGTCCTATGTTTTTCACCATTGCAACTCAAAAAAACATTGTATACCTATTAAAAACAGTCATTTTAAACAAAGAACCCAACATAAACAAACGAAAAGTCTAGGAATCCATCTTAATTGAACAAAACAACCCTACTCTAAACCAACACCCTGGGGTGCCAAGACACCTCTTCTAAGTTTTGCAACAGTATCCGGTCATGCGACCTCTTTGTTCAATACTATATATATGTCAGTGTAAATTACTTGTACCTGATGATAACAAAACCTTGTCGAAACGTTGTACATTTGCTGTTATGTTAAACTTATATTAAAATTTTTCTTCATTACCTATTCAAGCCATCTCCAACATTAATAATCCTACAATGCTCCTTAAAATAGAGGAGTTTTGGCAGAATTTCTTTGTGGTTCGGTTGGATTCTTGTTTAACAGATGTCGTACTTCGATACTGCTACTTCTAAATAAAAGTTTCATGTTTTAAATAATTATCTTTTTTACGTGAACTAGTGTTTTCTGTGTCGTGATATATACTTAAACTACAAACACTTAAATATCGGCGAAATTACACACAGTATCAAATTATATAGCACGACCCTCACATGGGAAAATATGTAGAACAGCCCTACAGAAGGAAAAGAAGCTGGTTAGCCTCTGGAGAGGGTGCATATAGAATCAGGCCATACATTAAAAAGAAACAAAAAAGCTCATATTGTTACATTTTTGAATGATAATTGGCGTTTATTATTAATACGCATACCTTATAAAGTAAATTTAACAGCCCCTTTATCATCAGGGCACTATTTTTTTTTTTATTATCATAACTCTATATTTCGAATTCTTAAACACTCGGAAGAACTTAAGACCACACTTTCTCAGAAGCGTGTCTTATCCTTGGAACAACAGTACCTACACTTAGCTTGGCTCCAGAAAATCAATCCCTCTTTGGTATTTCGAATTCTTTAAAACTCTTAAAAGCAGTTAAGAAGTAATATGGAATTATAATAAAGACAGTATGCCAGAGACAGGAGTTGTGTGCTATATTTATTTTAGAAGCAGAAGCCCCTAGAGTAGGAAGAAAACAGATTCAGACTACTCCGATACAGGAGAAAGCACAACTGATCCTTTGTTTGGGGATTTTTAGGCAATTTGTTATAAGTGAGGTTTCCAGAATTTTATTTTATTTGAGGGGCATAAGAAAGTAAAGAGTTAGTTTGAGGGTAAAATAAATTAAAATTTTCGACTCAGTGGGAGCTATAATGTAGTGAAGTTAAAAATCTTAAAAGCCTATAGTCCAGATGGGGTAGAGCTCTCCAATATCAGTCTACCAACCATATGCCCCCACGGTGGACACGCCCCTGTTTGATATTAAGCATAAAACTACAAGATCGGCTATTTGTTGTTACTCACCGCGGGTATCTAAACCTGATTTTGGGCTTTATAAGCCTTCGAACTTACTACGTACAAGAATATTTTTCCTTGGGCAGCAAATGGCTAGGAATGCTTGATACTGGTTTTGTTGCTGTCTATTGTAATGTTCCAATATAACTATTCTTTTTTGAGGGAAGTTTATGAGTGGCTTGTTATTTAGTAAAAATCAATATATAACTGTTTGTCAATCTATGTAGTCTTCAACAAGAAAATTTACTTACAACCTATGTATTTAATGCACTTGGCTGCTAAGTTATACATATTCAGATGTCTTAACTTTGCTTACCTTGGACGCTGGAATATTAGGCTATACTTGATGCAAACTAGTCCTACTGTGGGTGTATAAACAATAGGCATAAGTTTGTCTGTATGTTCCATCAGGACTTTGAAGAAAAGGTTTTGATTGTAGTCCTGTTGAAAGAGACGATATACAATTATTGAGTCTTTATCATCTGCTAATGACAAACTATTTACAAGTTCCCCTCTTCAATGTATATCTTTACTGAATATCTGTTATATCTTTACTATATATATCTCACACATATTCATGTGAAAGTGTTATGTCTGCTTAATTATATGTATTGATTGAGGAACACAATTATGTAGTAATAACCATGAAACGAGATGATAAATACAGAACCATTCAATGTCGCGTATCCCATACGTAACACCATACACGTTACGTTGTGCTCGGCTTGTGACGTACAAACATTGATAGCCACCTCACCCATCACTCTACGTATGAGTTTAGACGCAACAGAAAGCATAATTAAACTAAAGAATACGTGTAATAACAGTTCAACATCTAGTATTAAATCGTACAATAAATATAACCAAAATTTAAAACGGGGAGGCTTTTTTTTTAAAATAGGTTTGTTTGAAGTTAAGCACAAAGGTACACAATGGGCTATCTGTGATCTGCCCACCATGGGTATCGAAACCCGATTTCTAGCATTGTAAGTCCACAGACATACCGCTGTTCCACTGGGGACAAATACAGAGGTAGTCATGAAAAAAATATTTGGGGATCTTTTAAATAGGCAAAAATACCTTGTTAAAACCTGTGTGTGATGCCTTATTCCACTCTTTGTGTCATTAGTAAAGAACTCATTTAAGTAACAGAACTAAAACAATTGGATTTGACTAATAATAATAACTTTTTCTCAAGTGTAAATAAGAAAGGGAATTCTCTAAAAATCTGTTAAAAGGCAGGTTGATTAGTAAAAAATAAAAACGAAGAAACCCAGTGATAACTTCTGTTATTCTACACGTAGTCGTCTCAATCGCTGCGCTATCATACAAATAAGTGAACAAAAACTGATAACAGCTAAGTCTACTGTTACAGAGATCCACTTTTTCACTGTTTGACATTTGATTCATGCATGCGCGCGCGTGTGTGTTAAAGGCAATATGAGCGAAGCTAAAATAAAAAGCTGAATAGGGGAGTATGATGCAATATGAGAAACATAATTGTTTGACTGTAGTGGTAGACAGAAAAGGATTTTAAAAGGAAAACATGCAAGGTCTGTTATGCTGTTTTGTGTGTGATGAAGAGTTTGACTGGCTGCGTGAGGGTGAGCTAAGCGGTAAATCGCTTGTATAATTTATAACTGCAAGTTTATTATGTTATCATAAACAGCCTCCATA